TTGTAATTTCAGCTGATGATTGAGCAATATGTTATCTGAGTACATATTTTGAAAACTAAAAAAAAGTAGTTTTTCAGGAGAACATTTATGCTACAGAAAAACTCAATACTCCCCTATGGTTAGCAGGACAAGGCAAGAATAAACAAAAATTGTTGCTATGCACAACTCTAAACATGGGAAATTCATCTGTCTTTTCTGAATAGTATCTAAAATTTCATAGGATGCTAACCAAAAATGTTACTGACTTTCTCTAAAGGGAGTCTGCAGAATACTATATTAATGGACCACTGTGCATTGTGGGCAACATCTTAAACCTAGGAGACTCCTTGTTTTTCTTTAGGCTTGCCCAACTTCCCCCAAATCCCCAAAGCAACTGGTCAACTGGAAAGCGAACATTTCTGTCAACTGATATATAAAGTCTCAAAGATATCTCTGGAAATTTTAGCAGAAGCAAGCAAGTGGCAGACCAGGCATTCTTCTTGTCAATATTATTTATTTCTTTGGTTATTTGAAGATAGCATTTCAGTGCCCAGATGTAAATGCGGTTGTGAATATGAAGCTACTCGGGGAAGATAAGCTAATGTGATTGAACAAAAGAGACACTGTTATATTTCTGGTAAAAAGCCAGACTTCAAAGGAGGGATTTTTTTTTTTTAATGGAAAGCAAGAAAGAACCTTGGCATGTGCTCTGTACAAGCCTTGGCATCTCTAATATAGTTAGATGGTTAAAGTAAGATGAGAGCACACTTTTCTAACTTCCAGGAAGGATGTAATAAAGATTTCCGTAAATATTTTGAGGAGCAAGTCCTTTCTTATCTAGTTAGTGTGCCTAGCAAATATGCCTGTGGTATCCAAGAACAAACAGAACAAAGAGCTGAGAACCCAGAGCCTTTCAGTTCCCAGCTGAGGCCTGGCTTGTAGCATGGCAAAAATCACGATAACCACCGACTTGAATTATAATTGCATGAATGACTCACAAGTCTAGCAGATGTCTGCAGACTAATAGGAATAACGTCCAAGTCAAAAAATAACATTAAGTTGAAACTCTTTGGGGAATGGGCAGCAAAGTCCTGTGGTGGTTCAGGTCTAGTTGCCATGGGGAGATACAGCCCAGCTAACGTTATATGCCTTGTATACATGATTCTTACTTAAAAATAAAGATAATACTATGCATTTCAAATGAGCACCTGGTCACAACTCCTTTTCCCACCTACTTATATGCATTTTTTAAAAATAGTTTAAGGACAGCTGATATGAGTTTTAATTACATAGTAATTTCACACTCATCAATTCATTTTATCATCTCAGAAACCCTATACTATAGGTATTAAATCCATGTTTCACAGATAAAGTCTCCAAGAGGTGAAGTGATTTTATATTTAGCATTTGTACCGATATTATTAGCTTGAAATAAGTTTTTAACCAATCCTTTTACCCTACTTAGGGTAACTGGATTTTGGTGATCATGTGCTAAGCAGGTTCTGCTTTAGATCTTTTGGTTCTCATGGCACCCATCACTGAGGGTGGAGGCCAAGCCAATAGGGAGACAGGAGAAGCCATTTCCACTGCTTTCTTGACTGGGGATGGCATGAAAACCTCTCTGGTTACACTACTTACCGTATCCATGACTGAGCTCCTTCATTGTAAAATAAAGAACTTGGACCACATGAGTGGTTCTTAACCTTTATGTGTCCAGAATTTTGCTATTTTTTTCCTACCAATACTTATTGGCAGAATAAGCCAAAAAGCGTGTCTATTAAGTAATAAGTAATGTTCTCCAATTTTAAGCTAAT